GAGGGGGGAGGGGAATCGCAAGCATAGTTTTTCCTTAAACATTTGCAATTGCATTTGTTTACATATAAACCATCTCTCTGACAATCCTAATTACGTTCCGTCGTTACGCGAGCTAGCCCGCGCTCTCGGGGCCCTTCCGGGTCCGTTCTCGAGCATCTTTCACCAAGTGTCAACGGCGCGTCGCGCGACCTACGTCGATCCGTGACTCATAAGGCAAACACCGATTGTTGATGCCCTGCGGGAAGCCGCTGTCGGGACGCGGCGGCGCGGTCATTGACAGACGAAGATCGAACCGCTTTCGGCCGTTACCGTCGAGAGGGAAAAAAAATGCCACGGGCGGGGAGAAAGGGAGACGAAGGGAGACAAATCTATCCCCTACCACGCTAGATCGTCCGCCAATCGTGATACATCCGAATTTATCTCGTCGCGGCCACGGCCGGCTCGCGCGGGGATTCAGACTCGTCCTCACGCTCGGCAAGGTCGGTCCTTCGCGTCGCGGCAGTAAATCGATCCGCGATCGTTAATTCGTTACTCGCTCCCGCATCATCTACGGAACAATATGCATATACACGTTTACACATAAGCGTATCCCGCACGTATGCGTACACATCTATATGCGTATCTCGTGTGCGACTATCCGAGATCGTTCTGTATCAGCTGACATCGATTTATTATCGATCGCGACATCGTGTTATCGCGCACATCGCGTTATCGCGCCATTCGCGCTCAGGATGGAAGGCCACGCCAAATCGAGGGAGAGCCGCAAGGGCAACCGCAGGAGAGGCGGCAGGAAGGAAGAGAAGCGCGAGCTTCGGAGGATGAGGAACTCGAAGATCGAAGAGCTCGCGTCCTGGCCCGCGCAGTTCACCGCGGCCGACATCGAGGACCACGACGTGGGCGTCGCGGAACAGGAGACTGCCCTGGACCTGGATAATCTTGACATCGGTAAATCGCGTATGCCGTTCCTCTTTTTTTTCTCTCTCTCTCTCTCTTTTCGTCCCCGCAGAGCGCGTGTTTTTTTTATTCGCAACGAGAGGAGGATCGTTCTCGGACGGACCAGATGCGTCTCTCGTGTAAAAAGGACACGGAGGTCCCGAAATTGTTACGATTGTCGCGAGCTGCAGGCTCGAGTCGACGGAGGAAGAGACTCGCTCGTCCCCAAACTCGTGTCGAGTACTTTTTTTTTTTTTTACGTACCTACCCCGGTCTTCCGTTCCCAGAGGTATTTTCCATCGCAGACTCCGCCGAGTTGAAATGTGCTTTTCAGAATGGCCCGGATAGCCGAAGCCCGTCGAGGGCCCGCTACGAACTTCGAAGGACGTTCGACGTGTCGCCGGGGTGTTGGCAGAAGTGCGGCAAAATCTGCTCACGTAAGGCTGATGGCAGACAACTATCCGTAAGCGCTTAAGTCTACGGCTACGTCAGTCTTAAGCGCTCACGGATAGTTGTCTGCCATCGGCCTAACTGCGCCCGCTCGGCTTCTGCCGACAGTCTGTCGACAGCGTATGTTTTACAGGCTCTGTTGCCGAAACAAAAGCCAAAACGCGGACACGGATGGCCGTGGATTTGCCGTGGGTTTCTGACGTATCTGCCGCCAATTCGCCAGCATGTCGCGCACTGGGAATATTTCACGAACGCGCATACCACGGCCCGGTGAACGCCGAGCATCGGTTACGCTGCGTTTACGTTAAGGCCCGGTCTACAATGAGTCGTTAGTCGTTAGTCAGAAGTCGGAACTATATGTTGATCCTTTTCCTTTCTGGGTGGAAGAAAAAGGACCGACATATAGTTCCGACTTCTGACTAACGACTAACAACTCATTGTAGACCGGGCCTTAAATTTCTCGCTCGACAACGTAATCGTAATATAGCAGGTGTGTCGTGTGAGAAATTTTAACGTAAATACAATGTAACTGATGCTCGGTGTTCACTGGGAACGTGGCGTGCGAGCAACGTTTCTCCGTGGATACAGTAACGCGGTATTTACTATTAGTATACCGCAAACACGACAGGGTCGTCTACTTCGTGTGTTGTACGGACCGTCTCGTCTCTCATTAAGTTTATAGAGTTATACAAAACAAAACTTGGTCATAGATTCAAATCTCGAGTTTCTAAATTTCGTAACTACTACAAACTTGGCATTGTCGGAAGGACTTGTTCTTTAACAAAGGACTTTTTCAAAGCGAGATAACGTTGTTAATTTCCAAGCTGACAGCTGCCGTATACTTACCGATACGGTTCGCTGAACACCTCGAGAAGAAACGTCTCTTAACGTACAAGTCAACATTTTCTTGTATGAAATATGTGTATCACATTATATAACTAACCGACACTTGGATCTCCAATGTTGTGTGTACAGGAAGCGAGAAGATAAACGTAAAGCCGTCGCTCATGTGTCCCGCCTTGCGCCGACAATTGGAGACGCACAGGAACGTCCTTCGGCTCCTGCACGAGCACAAGTTGGCCTCGACGCAGATCAACGGGCAAAGGATCCTCAGCATCCAGCCGATCCGCTGGACCGGGCCGACCCCCGGCATCGAGTGCGAGATCTTCGTCGGCCGGATCCCGAAGACGATCTACGAGGACACCCTGTACCCGTTGTTCAAGACGGTCGGCGAGGTCTTCCAGATCCGGCTGATGGTCGACATGGCCGAGCTGACGAGGGGATACTGCTTCATCATGTACACCAGCCCGGTGGACGCGGCGCGCGCGATCGAACAACTAGACGAGTTCGAGATCTCACCGGGCAGGAAAATTCGCGTCCTGGCGAGCGTCAACAAGTGCAAGCTCTACGTGGGTCCCCTGCCGTGGCAAATCGCGTCGGAAGAGGTCGTCAGGGTGAGTCCTCGTCCGTTCGTCTTGTACGTTTTGCACCTGAGGCCCCCGGTTTCACCAAACGTTGCTCAACTTTAATCTTGGATTTAATTCACGTTTGTCTCTTTCTAGAGTGAGACTCGGTTTCACCAACGTTGGCTCAATCCGTTCTTTGTCTCTTTCCAACTGTTACTCTAGAAAAAGACAAACGTGAATTGAACCAAGATTAAAGTTAAGCGACGTTTGGTGAAATCGGGCTTTAAACAGATTTGTAATTTACGTGAGACATTTCAGGACGGAATTTTGTTCCTAATTTTCTGTGCCCGTTTATTTTTATTGTTGTGCATATTTTAAGGCGCGCGTTTGGTATCGTGATTTTTCAAATGCTTCCTGTATTGCGTGGCGTATGAAATTATCATTACAATTCTGTCTTATCTGACGTGAATTATAGATTATGTAAAACGGGCTTTTAGCTTCACGTGTAATTTGTGGAATAGTTTTTTGTGGAACTTGTACGGTACTTTATAATATTTTTCTTCAAAGACTTCTCTTTTTCCTTTACGTTTTTTTAAATACTTTTTTTTAATACTTGATTAGTATGCAATATTGTAATGTCTAAATTACAACACGTATATTTGCTCGATTAATTTTCATTCTGAAAACTTTATTCAATTTATTCAATTTTTTTGTAATTAGGTGATTTATGCATCAGCCTGGGATATCGAGTACGTATCTATTTATCGATTTCCGAATCACGACGCGGCTTACGCTATAGTTTCCTTCAAATCGCATCGCAACGCAGCCTTGGCGAGACGAAAATTGAGACCCGAGAGGCTCTTCAAATGCAACGAAGTGCACGTGGAGTGGGCACGCGTCGATTGGAATCCTTCTAACGTGGTGAGCAAGAAATTAAAATTTTTATTTTACCGACGAATAAAAATCATGTGAGGTCTCAACGATCGAAGTTGGAGCATTGGGTTCTACTTAAATTTTGCAAGTTTGCTTTTTCGTTCGACTTTTTTGAAAGTCAACTATTTTATTAAATTCACCGTGCGTGCTAATGTTCCAAATGCGGCTAATTTCTTTTTATTCGCATAAAATTATTAAAATAATTCCTCGTTTCGCTGCTTCGATTTAAGTTGAAAATAAACGAAGAGAGACAAACAAATTACGATAACATTTCTAGAATTTCACTTTTTTCGTTGAACTGCACGTCATATTGGGATGCACATATTGTTATCGTTTAAAGTACTGGACAGGAACGAGCAGTTTCCAGAAAGTGAAATCCAATTAACAGGTAGTGATAAAGATTTGCCCCGAGGATCTTATAAAGTCCTATAAAATTGTTATTGTAATTTAACCTGGGGTTCAATCATGGATATTTTCCTCTAGCGTGAATCCGTGAAAGGTGAAACATTTCAATGACGAAGTTGGTCAATGAAAATTTTCACTTTTCACGAGTTCACGCTAGGTAGAAGAAAAGATTCACGATCGAGCCTTTGTTCCCAAATATCTAGTTTTGTTTGAATGATCCTCAATCTATGTTGAGAGTTGGATTACCGGCTGCAACTGTAGCCAACTCTGGAAAACATGGAAAAAATCTCGTTATTTATGTCTCAATTATGTAAAAGCTAATTGTATCTTGAGAGATATAATTATATAATTAAGTGTTATATGATTGAAACATATACAGGGTGGTTCGTTTTAATCGACAATCGGAAATATTTCGTCAAGTAAGCCAGATCGAGAAAAATGTTTCAGATAAAAGTTGTATGGTCCTGAGGGGGGCATAAGGTGGTGCAATTGGTTCGACCTTGGATAATCATTTGAAGGTCATGCAAAAGTGACCTTAAATTTTTTTAATGGAACCCCCTATTATTTATTGTACTATCTTATTCTACTAATTGATATGAACAACTTTTGTCTGAAACATTTTTTTATTTAACAATGTAGAAAAATTGCATAACGACCAATGGCTGGCAAATTCTAATTAAAGAAATTCATTGCGAAACTACCTTAGCCAGGGTTTGAACCTGGACCTCTCTACACTCTAAGCGGGCGTCCATTCGATATCGCGTTCATTCGTTGCTAGAGCATCGGCGGAGCCGAACCGCGGCTTGTTGGAAGGTTTACGTGTTTTCCAAGACGAGGCGCTCGTACGCTGTTTTAATCAATCGACCCGGACTCGGCGAGACGGCGGTATCAGCTGATCGCACGTAGTTTCATTCACGCGGTCGCGTCAGGCGGTTCCTTCTGCTCCGAAATCTCTCGCTCCTTTTCTCGATTAGCCATGAGTGTCTCGAAAGTGCCGAGCAACGATTATTGCGACTATCGCAGCCCTCTGTCGACGCGATATGCCTCGAAGGAGATGCGCTACAATTTCAGCGACCAGAACAAGTTTAGCACGTGGCGCAAGCTCTGGATTTACCTGGCCAAGGCTGAAATGGTACGTCCTCCTAGGCGAGCACACCGGTCTACTTGTCTGTATACATCGTATTGTTGACACAGTCTCAACAGATCATGTCGTGGTATTTACTCGAGGGGTAAACCGTTGAGAGGGTACTGTGGTGTACAGATTTGCGACATTACTAGGCCTTTTTTGGGCATCAGTTTGGACATTATAGGCCTTTGCATTATAAAGATCAACTAAGATGAGACAAGATAAGATAAATTAGGATTACAACTTCTTGTTGATCTAACTGGCAATATATTAGTCAGGTGATTACATTAGTTACGACGTTTCGACCCAAGTATCAGGTCATTGTCAAGCACTCGTGTAAAAGTGTTCTTGGAGCATAAATTCTAGCAGACTCTCAAGGTCGTTGTCGATGCAAGGAGTTGTCAGAAAAGTTATTCGTACTAAGCGAGCACATTCGTGTGTTACAACGTTCGGAGTTTAACTCTTCAAGGGCCGGTTTCACAAACGTCGTTTAACCGCTAACCCGTGGTTAGATCCTCTGTCTCTTCTTGGATAACAAGATAGAGAAAGATAGGAGGTCGACTGAACTCTGGTTAACAGTTAACAGACGTTTGTGAAACTGGACCTAATTTATTTATCACTGGTGACTTTAAGCATACTCCTCTACAAGATAAAATAAGACAATAAGATAAAGTAATGCCCACTGGACATTAGCAGGCATTGGTGTGCATGATTTTGATGAGCGGTTTGCCCCTCGTATTTGTTTTCTTTTTCGTAACCGACGAAATTTGTATTTACGCATTCGACTGAAATTGAACGCGTTCGACTGGAATACAAACGTGTACGTTTCATTCGAAAGTCCAGGGGCTCGATTCTTGAATTTATTCGATGGAGAAAGGTATGCGAAAATTCTGCTCTTGCAGAAAAGTTGCAAGTTGATTGGCTATTCGCATGGCTTTAACCAATCGACTTTCAACTTTTCTGTCAGAGCAGAATATTCGTATACGTTTCTTTTTCGAATGATTTCGAGAATCGGGCCCCTGTATTTTGTAGGAACGAAAGATTCGCGCGAGGGCATATCCGAGCATAGACATCTGTAGACGGAGCATTAGCTACAACTCTAGACAAGAGGGGTTCTGATATTCGGGGCGCGGGAGGCACTCATCTGACATCGACTCTTTCCGGTGAGATTCGGTAATATTCGGTTCACGTTTCCAGTACGTGTGCACACGTATATACGGCGCGTTGCTTGTGTGCGAGCGTGCGCGCCCGCGTGGCCGAACGGATCATCCCCACTCCAAGTTGGAGGGAATGATTCCCTATGTCGCGAACGATCGAAAATTTTCCACTCGGATACATAGACATCTATAGACGGAGCCTTTGTCCGAGGGGAACTGATAATCGCGGCAAGGGGATGACTCATCTGACATCGACTCTTCCCGGTGAGATTCGGTAATATTCGGCCACAAGCAACGCGCCGTATATACGTGCACACGTATTGGAAATGTGAACCGAATATTACCGAATCTCACCGGGAAGAGTCGATGTCAGATGAGTCATCCCCTTGCCGCGATTATCAGTTCCGCTCGGACAAAGGCTCCGTCTATAGACGTCTATGTATCCGTCTATGTATCCGAGTGGAAAAATTTCGATCGTCCTCGACAAACAATTCGCGGCAATGAGCTCTGCGGGAGGGAAACTATTTTTAAACAGCTATATCGCCGTCTTATCGATTGACGCGCAACGTTTCGAAAACATGCTTATCTCGGTCCACAGAGGTTATTTGAAATATCGTCTTTGCCGTAAAGAAAAAGAAATTGCACGATCTAACGAATAGCGCCGTGCAGCGTCCAGATTTGAATGTTGATACCAGTACGAGAATTCCTGGGAATTCGAGATCAATCGATGGAGATTTGAGAATCTCCGATTATGAAACGACGAAGTGCACATCCCGATATGACTTCACTGTTGTATTTCATTTTACAACGAAAAAGGCAGAATTATATAATTCTTGATTGGATACTTTTTTTTTAATGTGTAAGCTTTTACAGCGAAAAAGACAGAATTCGTAGATGCTTGATCTCTCTTCGTCTTCTGGCGATTGTTATTCTGGCGGACATTGTTCGCATCACGCTCGGATTGCACCGACAGTTGTCAATTAACTTAAAGAAAAATTGAGCCTTTTTTCTCTTATTTCTATTGCGTTAAAGTTGTTAAAAAAAAATACCTCGGGAAAAATTTTCTCTTAAAATTTTTCTGTTATTTCTTCTCTGTTAAAGTTGTTAAAGAATATCCCGGAGAGAATTTCGTCTTAAAATTTACCCTGAAAATCATGTAATCGTGGAACAACGCGGCATTGTGAAGAACTGTATGAGAGTTTCTTGAAATTTTACTGTACATTCTATTGGTAAAATGTATGACAAAATTTAAAAAAAAACTCATACAATTCCTCGAAATGCCACGTTGTCCCACGATTTTCAGAGTAAATTTTAAGGAAAAAATTGTTTCCATGGAGATGATCATGGTCTATGTATATCTATGGGAAAGCCAAAAGATTCTTTAGACATCCTCGCATTGCGTCGAGATTATATGAATCGATCAGAGTGAATCGGTGCAATCGGGTCGTCGCCTCGGCAATGTATCTAAGGCTAGTTCTACATTGATCGTATCGTAGCGTCGAAAATCATAGATTCGACCGATCAGCGTTGAATTGGAACCAGTCTACGACCCACTACGATACGACCAATGTCCCAACGAACACGTATATCTAAAAGACGACTTAAAGACGTCTTAAAGATGTCTTTTAGACATGCGTGCTGTATGGGGTAGAACCGATCTAATGTCTTTCTTGCACGAATCGCAATGTCCGTGTCATCAGTACGAGGATCGCGGCATGGTCGACGCGAAGGGCGACGTGCAGATCACTCGGAGGTATCTGCAGGCCAAGAAGACGTCCACGTCGGTCCCGCCGACGCAGAACGACTCTAATCGCGATCGAAAGCAAATCCCGCCGATCTGTCCGCCGAACGGCGGCAACGGCCAGGTCAACGGTGGACCGCCGGCCACTAGATCCACCAGCCGCAACTTCACCCGCTACTCGACTATGATGGCCATGTCGGCCATAGACGATTTCCCGCCGAGCGGTGACAAGAAGCCGCAGATGGTGCTCATGGATCTCAATGACAACGTGCAGCCGCTGGACGGGTATTGCCTGTTCCAGGACAAGACGCAACGGAAGAAGGACGCCGACAGCTTCCCCAACTTCGATATGTGGAACTCGAATCTTGTTCCTTTGCCCAACTCGCCCACGAGCTCCGACAGCCCGAAGGCCTACGACAAAAAGGATTTACTGCTGGACCAAGTGGCGAGCAGGTTGTCGCGCGGTTGGGAGAGCGATACAGTGTCCCCGTATTCGGCGTCGCAGCCTCCCTTGTTCAAGGGACACCAATACTCGGGCGATCCCAAGGTCTCGAATTGCCCTTCCTATTACAATTGCTTCGCAAACAAAGTGATCGATCAAACCCAGCCGATCACCGCTGTTCACTACCAGAATTATCCGGCGTGTTACGTGCTGCTACAGCAGCCGACTTATCTCTACTCCAAGGACCTTAAGGCTTATCCGCAGTCCTCGGTCATCCTTCATAACGCACGCGATGGCTACGATTACCCGTCGCACGGGTGCAACGATCTGATCGGAGTCCGCGGGCCAATCGCGACCGACCCGAGTCCCATCCAGATCGGCAAGAAGCTCAGCGACTACAAGTTCTGGTGCGGCGGAGCCCTCGCGAAGGCGGGAAACTGCGACGCGACCAAACCCGTCGCGTCGTCCTGCGTTGGGAATTACTCGAATCTCGTCCCGAATCTCGCGCCGATCCGCACGCCCGTGGAAAACACGACGTCCTGCCTGGTCCCGCTCGACGTGGCGAACGGGTACGACGAGAGGCGTCTCCGGCCGATCGTGAAGCAAGAAATCGCTCGCACTCAGCTGTGACTATCCTTCCTTCCTCCCCCTCTTTGGGTTTCTTCCTTTTGACTGTGGAGATTTTAGAGAACAACGGCGTTTTTACGTTTATTTCGTGCATTCTAATGGGGACGATCATTAGGACACATTTTTTGTTTTTAATTATTGACATTGCTGCCAAAGAGTTTGCATGTAAGTGACAAAGATTTTTTTTTTTTTAGTGTAAGTGTTGTTAAACTCGTCATGGTTCCTTCAACCCGCAGCTTAATTGTAACTCGCGCATTTTATTTTATAGCATTTTATTGGTAAATGCCATGTTACCATCTTTTTGAAATCGTTCATAATCGTATCTTTGGCACGTATCTTTTTTTTTTAACTATGTACGTAACAGCTTGCAAGGTATACCTGGGAGACTGCAAATTTATATTGGATTAAGTTTTTTGCGCTTACAAATGTTTACTATATTTGTTTTGATAGCAAGATGGACCACCCGTGTATTTTCTAATCGCACCATTTTTAGCGGGTTTTAGATTTTTATCGTTATATTTTTTGTTATCGTCATGCGTTTGGAGTAGGAGCTCTATAGGTCTTTCAGAAATTAAGCAAGGCACATCTGAGAAATCGCGCTATATTTTAAGAATACAAGGCCGAAGATGAAGGATAAAGATTGACAATAATCGACAGTGAGCTTGCGCTAATAGTGTCACAGTAGATTATGGGCGACGTGCATCTCGCCGTTGGCGGCAATTAGTATCGTGTCGCAGACAAGCATGAATCATGTTCTTCCGATAGTATTGTCTTACATTACGTTACAGCTAACAATCAACAACACGATCGGCGCCGCTTGTTTTTCTCAGCATATTCACGCGAAGAAAGTATTCCGCGTGTTCTTTAATCGCTGTTCCTAATGACTATTATTATAAGGAATGTAGATTTTTATCGAAGCAATCACGAGCGACACTTCCGGCCCGTGACTCGCGCGATGCGCGTCATGTCGACGCGAGGCGTCTGTAGTTACAACGGCAATCTATTTACGTGGAGGAGGGAGAGGCCGCGTGTCTCTGCGTTCGACCACACTTCGGGCAAGTGTCCGGCTTCGGTTTAACGTTCTGCGAATGAAAATTGTTTCCGATCATCTAGCTTTTAACAATCTTTTTATGGATCCGTTGGTCCAACACTTACAGTTCCGACACCTCGATCACGAAGATGCAGTCGACAATTGGTACACCGGAGCTTTCTTAAATCCGTACCTTCGAGCCTGCTCATTGTCTGAAGTTAAAGAGTTTTACTTGGCGAATAAATTTAATTAAAAAGATATTTGTCTTTTGTTTTCCGAAAATATAATTTCATTTAGCAAGCTGCGAGCAAATGAGTTTTGTGTTTTAACCGAAAAGAAATGATTACTTACGGTTGAAAATAAAGTAATAAATTTTATAGCAGACAAACGCGTCTATACATGTGTCCAGTCAATTTGTAGTCTGAACACGAGCCACTTACCTTTCTTCTGTCCGCTGGGGCGCAAAATTCACAGAAGTACTTCCCCCTTTTGTCCTTGAAGACGACGTAACATCTGGAATTGTCCGAGGTTGGCGTTAAGCTCTGAAAAGTACGCGATTGAGGTGGCGCGAAGCGAAGACCCCGAGAAATGTTCACATCTTGCATTTTCAGAATAACGAGATTATATTATCGCTTTGAAGTCACCTGTTGTCTGCAGAGCGAACAAGCCTCATTCAACTGCAGTTCGGTCACAGGATCCGGCGATCCAGTCCTCGTCGGATGCTCGTTCTAGAACAGAAATAAAGATCGAGCCGCGTTGCTGTAACTTACTTTCCAGAGCTTAATAACGAAGACATTCTCTACCTCTTGCTCCGTCTGATTGTCAGGCGCCGTCCTCTGCGCTACCTTGTCGAGGGTGCGATCTTCCTCGAGTACATTTCTGAATGCCAAGTAAAGTTCGTAAATTGTAAGCTCGCGTTGAGATTGAAGTTCCGCAGACGCGAAAAAACTTGAGCAGTAAAACTCGAGACTTGAGATAAATGACCAATGACTGTTGTGAACGTAGCGGTTATTTTGAAACTTGAGCAATGCTGGACATTCCGATCGGTTGAAATTCTTGAGTCTTGCTGCTCAAGCTTCATCGCGCTTTTGGGAGCTTTCGATTACTTACGCGTCCTCGATCGGGTCCACTTTGTTCAACTTCAAATGCAACAACGTTCGAGGCTTTGTCCTGCCGCTCGGCGGCGTGATTAACGTTCCGCTCCTAAAATTCATTTCCCGTATATTGAATCACTCGTTTCATCAGACCGTGCAGTGACAGTCGATTTAACTGTGCATATACGAGACGCATGGCTGAATCGATTATCGCAGCGCGTTATGTAAAATTGTACGCCTACACGTGCATCGACGACTCCTCCAGATTTGTCAGGCTTCCTTGTTCCGCGCGCATTAAGTCTTGATAGATTCTAGCGCAATGGTCTCCTCCACCTTCACTCCTTTTGACCTCGCTTATTCTGGTCCTCTCTTCGAATCCCTCCGCGTTATCCTCATCATTTTTCCTTTTCTTAACGCGCTCTTCGGCTGTCTCGGGCCTTTTAGTTCTCACTATTTTCATTATAGTTTCTTCCGCGAGCTTCCGATCGACATCTTCGCCCGTCGGTTTCGCGTCTTTCATTTTTGTTGCATCCATTTTTCGTTTGTAGCTAAGATTAATCGGGTCATAATGTAAATCGTGATGAATTTCCAACTGTCTGGTTACGCTTAGTTTTTATTTTAACTCTTGGACAATAACGTCGGAATGAATTTTGTAAAAATTCACATAAGTTATTTAATTTTAAATCAAAACATAGTCCTTTTTTCAGAAATTATTTGGAAGATGGAAAGAAAGCATTTCATCGAAGGTGTTGGAAGAATCATGAAATGTGTTAGAAATGTTTTCTTACATCTACGGATTAAATATTTTTGAATGGAATAATTGAGAGTTATATAAATGTATGTCGTACATCATATCCGGTACAGTCCGTATTCTCTTATCCGGACCATAGAATGAAGCGACGGTATACGTGGTGATCGGTTTCGTCGTCAATCTCGTGACGTTCCCGCATTCAGTGCCTGTAGGCGAAAATGATCATTCGACAGTGGTGTCAGCGCGCGAGATTCAGAGTCACATCTGAATTATTATGAATGAGACAGGTCCCTAGTAGCACAGTGCATTGGCTAAACATTGGCCCAATGTCGGTTATATTAGAAATGCATTGGCCGATATTGTCCAACGTAAAGCCAATATTGGCCATGGAATAAATGTAAATATTGCACGATAATTATATAATATTAGATTTATATTGAAAGTGCATTGGCCAATATTTAACAATGCAATAAGAATATTGGTCTAATATTGATACAATATTAAATCAATATTGCTAAATAGACATATTGGCTAAATAAGAGAAGGCGTCCGTCTTATAATATTGGACCAATATTGGGAATACTAGATTTACATTATTTTCCAATATTGCATCAATATATGTATTGTGCTACTAGGGATCAGAAGAAAAAAATCGGACTGAAAATCGCGGGAGACAAAGTGACTACTGAAAGAAATCGCTCCGCTCTTCAAAGCAACAACTCTCGACCGATCTCTGACTCTGAACCAATAAGAATTTCACACAATTCCGTATGATGTATCAGATTTACTCGCAACCTGCTGTGTTGTCTCACTCGTCAACGTTTTGCTAGGACTTGGCTTGACTTTCGACGATTCCGCACGTTGTTGCGTTAATTTCCGCGGTTGCTGCTGTGGCGCACCCGGTTCGCAATTGCATCTGCGAGGGAAAATTAATTTCTCCAGTTTTGGTATCCAGAGAATCCTGGAAAATGCGCTTTGGAAAATGACACATCTTCCAGGATTCTCTGGACAGAAAAGTTGGAGATATTACCCGGAACAACACGGCATGCCGACCCCTCCGCGAACGAATTGCACGATCGCGGGGTAACTCCATTGTGACGAGTGCTGGAAACAGGGCGCGCTGGCCACGCCGGCTCCTTCGACGAGGGGAAGTTGTATATGTTGCTGACAGAACTCGCACTTGCTTATCGTCTGCATCGGCGTCTCCTGCGTGACTGCTCTCGGAGTCTGATCTCCGGAAACGCGAATTAAGAAATGGTAGACAAAACGATCGCGCGGAAGGTTCTCCGATAATCCCAGTAGCACAGTGCATTGACTGAACATTGAGCCAATGTTTCACCAATGTTTGATCAATGCACTGTTCTACTAGGGAAATCGCAAGTACAAGATCAACTTCTTCTCTCACAGGGAGAGATTTGTTTCCAAGAGTAAAAGAAAAAAATCAGTTTACGAGAGTGTTGGATGTAATTGGCTTGAATCAGACTCACTTGACTTTCCACGACGGACACCTTTTTCGGTTCCGTTTGAATTTGGGCGACGTCGAGGTTGCATAACGATGGCACGCAGGTAGAACAATCGACGTACTCCCGTCGCCGGGGATAGCTGACTTTGCGGTAACCATGATCGGTGGATGCAACGTCTTCCAGTTTGCGAGGTATCTTGATGTCACTCAGGCTGGTCGTTGCATCGTGTCTCATTATCTACATTTACACTCGAGAGATATGAATTGGTACGTAAAACAGCGACTTGTCGACTTACGGTACTGCGAAATCCAGATTTTACCAGAGAGTCGTTGCCTCCGAGGAATTAAATGATTTCGTAGTATTTATATGCAGAAACGGAATAATTAAATAAAAATTTTATTAATTGCGCATAATTATTTTCATTACTTTTAGTAAATTTTGATAAACTTCAATCGCGCGAACCTTTGCAAACTGCGAGACCGAATACTTTAATTTACGTTTGCCTCCACGGGTACTCACTTTGGTTTCTGGCGCAGCTCGTTCTTCGTCTTTGTGCAAAAGTTCCGCCGTGCAGTTACTGCAACATCGTTTACAGGACGAGCATCTTCTTTTCCAAAATCTAGAAACGTACACTTTTACTGTAACTCTATCCGATTAGATCTCTGCCTCAAAGACTCAAGGCTTTCGAGACTCACGCGAGTACCATCGTGATGTCAATCAAGAAGAACAATGCTACCAGCAGACACAGTGTTAGAGCCGCTATTTGCACCGCGAGTTGCGTATAGGCGTTTAAGTAGAAGAAAAGTCCGGTAACCCCGAAGAATACGAGGCCAAGCAAAGAAAATACGGCCATCTGTAATGATTTATACAGAAAAATAGTTACGCTCTCTCGTAATGGTAATCGATAATATATTTTTTTCAGTGAAATCTAAATACTACACGTCGCACTTAAAACATTTCTTTTTAACGTTCTATGAATAACAAATACAGTGCGCGCAGTAATTCCTTTTTTTTCAGTCGGTTAATTCATGACGTTTCGATAGTCTGCGTTCTTGAAGGTAAACTTGCAGTTTTAAGAACGTCAAGTTGCAAGCGATGGTTTTTTTCACGACTCTGATTTCACTGAACAGTGTTGCGCACAGTACGGCGTAAATTACCGGAATAATATGCAAGGCGCCCCCGGCGAAGTGGCTGATCAACTCGACGGCTAAGACGAAAACGTATACGCTTGATAAGACAATCAAGAGGATGCAGGCGGGAGCGCTTATCGGCATAGGATCCATGGCGACCATGTAGATTGTGAACGCGAACAGTAGCAGCACCGCGAACTGTCTCGAGAAAAGATTTTTTAGTAACATCGACAAGAAATTATCGGCTCATTTTCATCGATATTAAGGGGCCTGTTCTGTGAACATTAACGATTATATGACTAAGTACTTTACAAGCTTTTATGATATATTATACATGCGCACAGCACGTAGTGACGTCGTGAACGCTTAACAGAATAGACCCCTAAAATGGCAATTGAATGGAGTAACAAGGTGTCCAATACGCACGAATTGAAATATCCTCAGCGGCTTCATTATTGTCGCTACGCATTTGCTGGTTTTGTGCTGCATCAGCTTCTTTTGACCGAAATGCGTTTTTAGTTTTGACATCTCTGGCCCCAGCTCTCTTATCATTTTGCCTTTTACGATATTACGATAGTTCCTATGGATACTTAATGCAGTGATATTACAACGTGTAATATTATGTCACGACATAACATACTACAACGTAAAACGAATGCCAACGCGCGCGCGCGCGTGGAAAAAATTTCTATTTTAAATTGTCTGACATTTACAAGGACATATTGCATATTTTTGTTTCCTCGATTAAAATCATTTTCGTAGAACGACTAACTTCATGTATATACGTTTTCCATTTCTATTTGCAGGTTTGCTGTAAGAGAAGTATTGGAAAGAATATGACGTTGTATGTGCTTCTCCCATTTTACTAGATTTTTCTTTATGTCCTGTCTTTCGGTCAAGGATATTTGTACAAATTTTTACAAATTAAACGTCGTATTTCGAGTTTACGACCCGCGTGTAAAACACACACATGTTATGACACATTAAAGAAAATTACTCTTCATATTTCGATGAAATAAAATCAGTATATTCAACGAACGCTTTAATTTTCACATCTTTATATTTATTTTATTTTTATACAAAATACAAGCATTAGAGAGATAAAAAAGAAAACACATAGAAAGCACGAAACTTTAGACACTAGATCATGAACAGATTTCGCATGTGCATTATCAAATGTTGCTGCAAATTTTAAAATTATTAGGCTGCGCCCTGATAAATAAACATAATTTTCATTTAGAAGCACGAATAAAGAAAACTGCATAAGTTAAATATAAGGACATGTAGAAAGAGATCTTTTTCATTCCACTTAAAACATAAATGTAAAAAGTGCTTATCGCAACATTTTGTAGAAATTAACGCTTTAGGTACACAAAAGAACGGATTTGTACGCGAATGGATACTTTCGATCCGAATAGCGAAGAAATGTTTCGATAATCGCAGCACTTAAAAAATAAGTCTATATAAAGTGTTTATCGCAATATTTTGTAGAAATATACGCTTTAGGTACAAAGTTGGACGGATTTGTACGCGAATACTTTTGATCCTAATTGCGAGGAAATATTTCGAAATCGCAGCACTGAAAAATATAAGTCTAAAAAGTGCTTATCGCAATATTTTGTAGAAATATACGTTTTAGGTACAAAAATAGACGGATTTATACACGAGTACTTTTGATCCGAATAGCAAAGAATTATTTTGATAAACGCGGCACTTAAGAAATAAGTCTAAGGCCGGTATTCATAGTCGATTCTTATTTCAAAATCACCTAAGTGTTGTCTTAAGAGGCTAATACGGCTCTGGATTTTAAAAACACATTAAGAGTCATACTTAAGATAACTTAAATATAAGAACGGACTATGAATACCGGCCTAAAAAATGCTTATCGCGATATTTTGTAGAAATATACGCTTTAGGTACAATAATGGACGGATTTGTACGCGAATGGATACTATTGATCCGAATAGCAAAGAAATGTCTCGATAATCGCAGCCGTTGTGCGCGAAGATTGCAATTTCGCGATTAGTCTCTAGAGTTACTGTAACTATACTAATTCAACTAACTGCTCGATCTTTTCTAACGATAATTACACGCATATACACGACCTTACACGCTACTACTGTGATAACAGGTATTATATAATATTACTAATTCTAATATGACTTTAAACGCATGTGTGTTCGATAATTTTACGAAATTAATATTTTTGTGGGATTTTACAATTCGTCCCACCACACGACTTTTCTTCGCAGCAGAACGACGTTAAAACCAATCGTGACAATCCAATAAATGCCTAAATCTTTCTCGCCGTTACTTTTTCCAATCTCTTCACTTGTAAAACGTTCAAGCCGTCGAGTCAACAGTCGTTGGTGTAAATTTCAGAAAGTCTCGGTGAAACTGCTTGCAATAATAAACGTTAAAAGATCCTCTAGCCTTCTCGTCTTCCTGCTTCGAAACGGACTATCCATAGCTTTGGTGACACTCGCGAGTTCTCCGACTCGCTTGGATCAACGGACCTTCTTCTCCGCGAGAGCGCGCGTATTCACGCGTATCTTATAACGGCGATAATTTCCGCGATAAATGCCGCCGCGTTGACGAATGTAAACACGGCCGCTGATATAAGCATGTCCATGTACTGCTTGCTAGGGTGGACCTCGTTGTTGTACACGTAATAATAAGAACCGTTCACCTGGCGCCAATTGTGGACCATCAGGCTTCCGGCCACCACGTGCATGAACGCGCCCACGGCCGCGAACATCAGCAACTGCAACAGCCAATTAGTCGTCGTGAATTAAATGCGCGATTTGCCTTTGACGTTAGCGTGATGAGAAACTCACGCATGGGGGGAAAACTCTGTTGTTTGCTTTTTAATTACCGACGGAAACAAACCGAAGGACGCACGCAGATGCGCCAGCGCGACGCTTGAAATCCAATTTCGCGATTAACTGCGAGCCCTGACAGCTCCGGACGATCCTGGCAATTTAGGGAACTTCGTGCCGGCAACTTTTTAACGAGAAACTCTGTCTTAGTCGCTCAAACTGAGGGAAAGATATTACCGTTCACGTCAGTCCCGTAAATGCGCTACGTTTCTCGCCCTAGGCTTGCACAGATACGTCGAGAATTATCAAGTTTTTTCATAACGTGGCGATTTGATCGTTCGTTAAATCGAATTTCGCACCAAAAAGTTTTGTTATTATTTATCGTCGCGTCTGCTGTTACGAGACCGAGATATTTTCCCGGTTGTTTGCCAAGATAACGATCGTAAATGTCATCGGTTATGCATGTTACAATGCGACACGTCAGCGCGTCTCGCACGTAGCGAGATTTGCACAGTTGAAAAGAGTTCGTAATGATTTACGCGCGATCTCGACCCGCGCGCCTCGATCTCTCGTCGCGATTCTTCTTCGAGCGCCATTACATCTTGCCGTACGACAAATTCTCGTTTTAATCGATCGATCGCAAAATGGACAACGTCTAGAGAACTTTTTTCATTTCAAAATTAGAAATAAAGAGATATAAACCGCAACGGGAGTCCCAGCGAGAAATGACTCGTCGATCGATGTCGAAACGATGTCGATTCGACGAATCATTTCTCACTGGACTGTTACCGGTTATTTAGTAAGAAACATGTATTTCAACGAAGTCTAAAAATCGTGTATTAGACATTTCGGCCATAGAATCTGACCCTCAGTATAGGAAAGTCCTTTATTATGAGATAAGCTCCTAATACGAGATAGCGGAGTTTCCGCTAAATTGATAGGCACCGTCTATTGGTTCCACCATGAATTCATTGCCCTTGGAGTGAAATCTCTTGTTCAGTGCCAAATTGATCGCTGGATTGTGTAATCTTTGCGAGAAAAGATGTGCGATTGAATTTGGACGTTGAAAAACCTATTTCATAATAGAGAACTTTCCTCTACATACAGTAGTCGTTTTCCCATTTGTTTTCTCGCGAGCAATCAAACGCGCTCGAAAAATTGGTCGCGCGATACTTAGATGTAATGTTATCTTTAGACGACGCGTAAAACGATATTCGAAGTGTAGCGTGCCTCGCGCAACGAGGCCTTGATGCGTCCGCTAATTAACGCATACGCCGTCGCTGCCGGCCGTAATGACTCAGCTGTACAAATGACTAGGTATCTAGTCGCGGCCTATGGCGTTCCTCGCTATGGCCATAATATAACAAGGACACACGTTTACTGTGATAATGTAACGAGGATACGTTTACAGTGTCGGCTGTTAATCTTCGCCGACGCCTTCGGTAAATCGACGAGAGGATGTTCTGCAAAAATACGATCGATATACGCTACGTGTTTCTCTCATCGATCTTTTAAGTTCGGTGAAAACGAAACGACGATGATTCTCTATAGAAAAAGAAGACAAAAATTCGACCGTTGAGTCCGAGGCCAAACCTCATCTACGGAAATTCCACGATTGATCCGCGACCGATTTCTGCCTTTCTTATCGAAAATGTTGAAATATTCAGAATTGTAAAGATCATCCTTGGAACCATCCTATAGTCTGTTACTCTTATACCTTTCGTGCGCGAGAGTGTAAACTCGTTTCCTCCCCGCGAGGAGGCCGCGGATGGCAAGTGCGCCGCAAGGGTGAGGCGCGGAAGGTTAAAGAAAATTTTGTTAAAATTTTAATGCGTTTTTATATATAGAGAGGTACACATTACCGTTCTCTTGGGCACGCGATCCCCCAGCATGTGGCTGATGATGAAGAGCGCATTGATGAGAATATAGCCCGCGACCGTGACGTAGATGGTAGCTGCGTCGTCCAGCTTGAATCGCGGCTTGTTGAAGATGCGCTGGAACGAGTTCATCGGGTCCACCGCCAGGCCGATCGCGAAAATCGCCAGTATCTGCAGCGAAACACGTTGAAACGTCTATGTAATAGCTGTCCACGTTGGACGGTGATCACGAAAAAAAGTGGAGAGTAATATAGGCTGAGTGATGAATAACAAATGCAGAGGAAAATACGACGTTGTGTTATGCAGATCGGGTGATCAATTTGATTTCTTACACTATAGTGCAAATGCTGAAAGTGAGTAGCTCCGTCTCTTTCCAACCGTCCCCTTAGAAAGAGACAAAGCCGCTCACTTTTAATATTTTTATTGTATCAGTTCAACACGGAACTTTATAACGCACGAACGTTGCTCACTTGAGTTAAAATAATTTTTCTGGCGACTTCTTGCGTTGACAATGACCAGACTGCTATAATTTATGCTCTGTGAACATCTACGCACGAGCTCGGTTACTCGATAAGGACCTGATATTTGGGTCGAAACGTCGTACCAAATGTAACATTTAATTAATTATATTGCCAGTTGGATCAACAAGAAGTTTCATTTGAATTGGACTCATCACTGGTGACCTTACTTATACTCCTCCACGGGATTTTTATTATATTGTGAGATACACAAAATTGACCCCCCAGGGGCTAGATTTTTGAATTCACTCGCGAGAGAAACGTACGCGAGAAATTCTGCTCTTACAGAAAAATTTCAAGTCGAAAAGCCAGGCGATAACCAGTCAACTTGCAATTGCTCAGTAAGAGCGGAACTTGCGCGCACGTTTCTCTCGCGAATAAATTCAAGAATCTTGCAGGTGCGTCAAGAGAGGTGCAAAACGGAGATGAAGATTCGTAAAAAGAATCGCAATTCCGCCATTTAAATCGATATATCTCGAAAGGTTTGCGCGGAAAGAAAATGTCGGCAACGAGGCGCGCGCTGCGGTCTGTGCTCCATTCGAATTGAATTAAAAAGAAGAAAGGCACTCACCACTTCGAGCACTTTGATGGCGATGGGCAGATGACATAGAACCTTGTGCCTCTTGGCGGTCGGCTGTTGGTTCTGCTGGGCTTCGTCCGCCATTCTTACCCGTCGATGTTTTCCTTTACCGTCGCCCAGTTTGAAGGATTTTCAGGTCGATTTGATGACGATCGATTCTCTCTTCCCTGTGCGTGCGACCCCACCTTGGTCTTGGCGACCCTAAAACGAGAAACGCGATAGACATCGCCCGTAGGGGAGCACGTGAGGGGTTGAAGGCGCGGCGCGTACGGTGCATATAACAGAAGCCTGGAGAACGGATTATACGAACGATAAGACGTTTCGCTACGTACTGCATCCATTCTAGGTCGATTTTCCCTGGCCAAATGCGTCGTAAATTGCATTTAAACGACATTGGGTATCGCGACAAGTTGGCAGAACTAAAGCATTAGTTGTAAAGTAATTGAAGTAGTAATGGAGTGAAGCAAGAAATTCCTCGACGTTCGAGGCAAACACAAGCATTAGCGAGTAGCTTGTAAGAACTAATTGAACGCAATAAAGATAACTTATATTAGTTTCACTATATACGTATTTTCTGGCCAATTTCTGGCCAAGCTTCGAGTTTCGTGACTACGAACTAAAGAAGAATCGATCCTCTCTTTGAGCTTGATGTGTTTGAACATTCGGACACTACTCTCTAAAGTTTATGGAGTGAAAATACTGCGTAAACACCGAGTAGATATTTACTCCAACAGAGTGGACATTCACTCCAATAGAGTGAACATTTCACTCCATGGTAGCATTATATGGTATAGTGCTCTCTTAAAGTTTTTGGAATGAAAATACTGTTATGGAGTGAAACGTTCATCCCCTATTGGTCACATTTCCTATTGGTGAATATTTATGGTACTCCAACATAGTGAATATTCACTCCAATATAGTGAATATTCATGATTACTTTAACGAGAATTCCTAACTCTCCAAAATTTTTGAAGCAAAAA